TTTGAGAAAAGCCTCTCATGGTAAATCAATGGAGGTTCTCCAATGATTTTATTCATATACTTTGTGTGAACGTCCAAATGAAGTTCATTGGTTCATTTAATGGTTTTAGTTCAAAAGTTTCATGAATGAAGACAACGCTGATTGTGTTCATTTATTCGATACAAGCTGCATGGAAACATGGCAATCATTCTCTTTCGAAAATATTATATGATAAACTAATCATCGCATCCATATCATCTCTCTTCCAATACCTCCATTTAGCAATATTGCATATATGAAGACAGAGATCTGGAGAAGGCGTACTGGTGAAAAGTGATGCAACCACTAAATGATCCTAATTCCGCCAATAGTTATGCTCACTTTTTTCGCTCACTTAAAAGCAAAAGTCCTCGATTTCAAAGTTCATAACAGGGATCACAAGATCGACGAATCTTTCTTATTATTGGGTTGTCCACCAATGTCAATCAACGCAAAAGCCCTACTGGTCAACACATAATCTAACTTTGGATCATGCAATTTATGCATGATAGGCACGGATCGTTTCCTTCATCTCTATCGATCAATGGAATGTGAAAGCTTCGAATTCGAAATTATGTTTGAGGATCATATGATCAACGAATCATCATGATCCACTTGGGTTAATCAAAACTGTCGATCACTTCGAACGAAACATTGCTGATACTTCATGCACAAGTGAGAATTACATATTAGATGGATAGCAATTTTCCAAGACATTGATTCACCAATTCTGCTCATATTCGATGAGAGATTCTTAGTTCAAAATCAGAGGGAAACTTTTAATAATGATGAATCCTTCCCAGTGTTTGCATAATTTTGTTCAACTGTGCTACGTACAGTAAATCATAGATTTAGTTAGAATTCATCTCTCAGCTGTCGTGTATCGAGTGGATGCTCGCTATCTCCAGCCGATGATGTTTACTTATTTTGCATGCATCACTCTAGGTATTCGGATTTCGTAGCTCGCGGCTATTCATATCAAACAAGAATCATTTTTAAAATAAGTTGTGTCCACATTGTCATGAGATGTCCATTGACAGATTCAATCGAAACGAGTTGTTGAAGATCGTCTGAAAACAGAACAGGTCCTTACCAATGAACGTATTTGTTTATTCTGGCAGTGCTACTCAAGTCGGCCGACGTTAGAAATATTCAGAAGATGATGTTCCTAATAAATTGATCCAATCATGGATCGATTCGCATATGCTTCTTAGTTGGAAGCAAAAGTGGGAAGGTAATCGATAGAGACGAAGGCCACTGTAAAATGAATCACTGCAACGACATTCGCCGCATTTGGCACAAATATGATGGTATTCGCTAATCTTTTTTCATTCTAACCTGAATCGAGATACTCTTCAATAGATCATTGTTGGCATGGCAAATTGAATGGTTCGTACGGCCTTTAACGTCGTATTCTCGTATTCCACTCTTAGAGAGTAAAGGATTTTCTTCGACTAAGTATGGAAAACGATCGAACAGATGGATGCTCAGAACAAAACTTTTGTTCGCCTAAATAGTTCTGTAATCACAACATATTTTCTTCGGTCGCATTTTTAGTGACCATATGAGAAATTAATACTACCGATGAAGTTTCTTGAAAGCGACGGGAGCAGCAAATTGTGCATCGTCTAAAAATGATAATAATGGTAATGAAGACTTGTTAACACCAGTCCTGTCATCTTTTTAAAAGACTCAAGAAATTTCACGTGACAAGTCAGCACTAATATAACTCATCTTTTTTCAAATGATTTTCGTCTATGGTTTCTTCGTATGTTCGAAAACGGGTATGGGTGTTGGTATGGACAGTTATACTCATCAATAGATACCCACCCTCAAACATCACACCCACACCCACACCTCCTAAATTCCGGAGTCGGAGTCGGAGGTGGAATCGAAGTTATAACTGCCTCCGACTAAATTTTGACTTTGAATAAGCCAATAACTTAACTTTTCGCAATAATTAAAAAAGCATTATCTCTTACAAAAGCTGTTAGCGCAGTCCCTTTGGGATTAAAAATGTGAAACACGGTGTTACCAGTCTCAACAGGCATGTAAATTCTGCTTTTTTTCATGAACCCTGGTAGCCATTCACTCACCATTTGTCATTTAATTACTAGAACTACAATAAAGAGAAAGGTGATATACTCTCTTTAGAACTTAGTAACTTATATTCGCTATTCCTGTATCGAAGATCTGTGATGTTCAGCGACGCCTGTGAAGCTCGTCTATCACTTCTGTGACGGTCTTCAACCCTGTCTGTCACGGTCTGTGACACCCCCAGAACCCTATAATTAGAGTCAATGTCCCTAAAGCGAACGGAGACTGTAGGCGTGTTCATTCTGAATCTTATATCAGACTTATTTTATGTCTTAAAAATATCATTTTTATACCATGGGAAAGAGAAAAAAATTCTGCATCTGCTCATATAAAAATATAATTAATACCTAGAAACATAGTTGAGCAATCAGCGGTATAAAACAGAAAAGTCCAAACGTTTGCTTTATGATCATGTTCACAAAACAAACGCCCCAGTGAAAAACAAGCAAAATATAAAAAATTAAAGTATTTACTCGCTCCTGTTCGAAAATTTCAATAGATTTTTCTGAAATTGATATCATTCGATTCGTCATCTTCAGCTCTATCGTTCTCTAGCGGTTCAACTTAATTGAAGTTATTTTCAATTTTTTATTGGCTTAATAAAAAAATACTTTCCGTTCGCTTTATGTGCACTACACATAAAGCGAACGACCAGCAAGAAAATGTACGTAAAGCGAACGGTCCAGCTGTTTTAGCTGGAGATTCGCCCTGCTTCAGTATTTTGCTCATTTGCCATAGATCGAAATCAAAATTCATTAAAACATCCACCGCCAAAGATCTTCAGATTTATTTTCTCTACAACATACCTGCGGTTCAACTAAAACCGATGAAAAATAAATTCAGAAAAACCACTTTTTCTTTATCTTTTTATTCTTTTGAAAAACCTATTTTAATACTAACGAGGGAGGGTCACCAGGTATTCAATCGCTTTTGTGTTGAAACTACTTACATTATGTAGCTTCCGATGAGTTATGAATATGCTAAAAATATTTTGGGCGGATAGCTTATTGTAACGAAACTAGGCCATTTCTAAGATATGAGCTTTTCTGAGTGCCTGCCCCCTCCCCCAGGGACATTAAAAAAAATTGATTTTCGAATTTTGACTTGGAACTTTTCAGAGAAAGACTCGCTAAGGATAACAACTTTTTGTGAGCGTTTCAGACCTTTCTACTGTTCATATCGTTAGACACGAGTATTGAGAAATTTTTATTATACATCTTTCAAATGAAGTAGCAGATTTAATGAAACAAATAAATTCAATGATCAAAAACATTCAAAAAAACACTACTCTCGTTGAGATGTATTGCTACATAAAATTTCAAGTCAAAATTCGAAAATCAATTTTCGACTGTTACTGAAGGGGGCTACGGCAATAATTAAAAAATACAATAAAAATGGCCTATTTTCGTAACAATAAGCTATCCGCCCAAAATATTTTTAGCGTATTCATAACTCCTCGAAAGCTACATAATGTAAGTAGTTTCAACGCCAAGGCGATTGAACACTTGGTGGCAATCCCTCGTAAGAGCATTTTCGACCACTCACGAATTTTGGTAAAAAAATTATATGGTTAAGATAAGCAATAAATTCTGGGTGTGGCTGTGTGTGGGTGTATATCTCTCGATGAACACCCACACCCTCGTCGTTTGAATCTTTAATTTGCTACTGAAAACACTTATAAAATCTTGTACAGTTAATTTCACTACTCTATATTCAAATATTTAACTGCCGATAACAAAATATGTTCTCGTTTGTAAAACTTCGAGGCCTTCACTTCTCTCCTACTTGGGACCACTCTTTTTCAAAAAAAAATATTTCTATTGTCTTTGAGCAACCAATAGATACATATACCGAGATAACATTTGACAAAAAAAGAAGCTCGATTACGCCTGTGTACTTCAGAGAGTGAATAAAAAAAATACTTTTATTTATCAGCCTGTAACGCAATAGATGATACACAAAATTATACATATAACTCGCTAATTTACGATTGAATTTCAAGTATATAATTCAGATTTTAGTGACTCCTATTACTTGAAGAACTTACTTTTAAGAACGACTAAACCAATTCTAGAAGATTTCAATAAATCGACCTGAATTCTGTTTTTATCGAAATAATGTAGAAGTGGAAAATTTTTCTTGAAATAAAAATCCCTTACAATGTACTCAACAGAGATGAGCACAGGACAGAGCGGTCCTGGCGTCCTGGTGTCCTGTGCTGCCGCCCGCCAGGACATAAAAGCTAGCAGGACAGGGCAGAAAACGTTGTCCTGTGCTCGTCTCTGGTACTCAATCGAATGAATTATTCTCATATACTTCGAATAAAAAACATCACGCAAGATTCGCAAAGTATTAAGAACAGAAAAAGACTCTTTTAAAAGATTATAGCATTATCTACGGGAGTTTTTCCTGTGGATGCACCGTGACTGATAAATATAACCAGTTTTATTCAGATAATTCTCATTCCCAAGGCAATAAAAATCTTACTTTCGTTTGTTGAAGCACTGATTTTCACGTTCGACATCTGAAAGAATGAAATTTTTGATGAATATTTTTTGTTCTTCAATAATTATAATCTTACTGAGCTAGTGATGGAAGTAACTTCTGCTTTTTTGTTCTTACTGGCAGCTGCTTCATATGTGTTGATCTATAAATCGAATGATATAAGTGTAAAATTGATGAACAATTCGGAAGTGGTTTGCGCTTACTTGAGATTTATGCGAATGTTTATCATGTTCTTCGTTGCTTATGCCAACAGCAGTCGTTATCAAATCATCTGTAATACAAAAAGCATCATTTCTTTTCTTTTGGTCCTGTATTCGATAAATTCAATATAGCTCAACCATTTTTTAAAACAGTGTTCGAGATGGAAAGTATTATAACTGTTAAGTAAATCTTTTGAACTCACCAGATGGATTCGGATTGGTTGGCAATGAACCAATAATAGATACTGGTTGTAGAATTGGAAATGGTGGAATAGTTTCTTCCAGTTGAATAATGTGAAGATTACCTTGATCAAGAGAACTGACTACTTTAAATTGTGTTGCAGCCATAAGGAGTACTTCATCTTCCACTGGATAAAACGAATGCTTCCGGATGTCTCTAGCTGATTTACATTGAAGGTTAAACATAGTTCTGGTGCCGGTTTTTCCCAAGAACATTTCTGATTTTAGCACACCGACAGATGTTGTGCACGATGAGAAACCCCACCAAACAATTGTTTCTCCTTCGATATAGCGATTACTAAGGTCTAATTTAACACCTCTGTATGCAGCTATCGAAAGCAATGGAAGACGAAACAGTGCATTTATAAAAAGTCTCAAATAAAGATACCAAGGTTTGAGTTTTTGCTGCCGATCCGTTGCTCGTAATGTATTATTCAAGACCACGTAGAGGCATTCGTCAAGAGGCTCCCATCCCATGGTGTAAAGCATAATCGATGCCGATTCATCTTGTGTCAAATTATCGACAGGTTTCTTACATTTTAATTTAGCAATGTATGCATGACTCTGAATATCGGCTACAATAGGAACAAGTGGCACGACTGCTTCTTCAAGTGAAACAAGGGGTGATTTCGCATAACCACTAATGGGTGCAAGAATGTCCAGTGACTCTTGTGCAACGTCAGTGATACGTAATAAACGCTGTACTAATGCTTCTTCTCCTCCGCCTGCGGTGGCCATGTTTACTAGCAAGAAAATTCTTTTTAAAAGTTAAAAATGATAAATATCTGAAAAGTAAAATCGAGAGAAATTTTCTGCAATGTCGATTACTTTGGATATTTTTATGGAAATATCTTTTCATAAAGAGTGCGCGTGTGAATTTTCATTTTATTCCCATCTTCACTCACCCTCTAAAAAAAACCATCATTAAATCTATAGAACACAATCACAACTAGTTAAATCCATAAATTGGTTTCTTCACATGATGTTGCTGCTCTTCTAGTGCATATTTCGGTGAGTCGGAAACGTTTGTCGCTAACCGAAAAGACCCACCATAGATCTCAAGCTTGAGATTTTGCTAGACTAACCGAATTCGGTGGCAGACTGCAAAGGGATACGATCATGCTTATTGTGAGACTAATTTCATTATACAATACGGTCCTTTTTATTGTTTTCAATGGTTTCAAAATTCTTCGTCTGTGCAAATTCGCCCATATGTTACCAGGACTTAAGGTAGCTGAAGTGATATCTATGTCTACGAACGATGAGGACTAAGGAATAGGAGCGAAGGGGTATGATCGTAGTACTGGCATTGATCTCGAACGCTACTACATTCCTATATGCATATGACTGTTAGAATCGTTCGTATCAGACTCATACTCGTTCTCAAAGGTTTAGCTTAAATCCATCTAGAGGAATAAATTATTAAATCACAAAACTTATCAGATGTACCAGAGTATTGATCATCCAACGTGTGGACCATGGATAGATTATTAAAAGTATTCTTCGTGGCGACTCAGACTTTTCGCAATAGTAGTTTGTGTCTCATACCATGCAGTACGTTCAGTTATACTCAAATCTACTCCCGCAGGCTTCATTATATTCGTAGTTAAATTATATTCATTTTGATCAGTTAACTATTTATTAACTGAAATCGATGAAGTAAAAGGAAGAAAAAATATCATTCTATTCGTAATACTTTGCTGCTTTCCATACAACAGTCCAGACAGATTCTATTGCTGTTGAAACTCTTCTTAATAATTCACTCACCTGGACTAATAACTTAAAATTAATACTCGGCTTTTTATTGTTGAAAATAATATTTTTTACGGCTGACTATGTTTACTTGTTGTTTTGTTCGAATGATTCTTCTCTTACATTTTGCTGTATAGCAGCATTATACAATCCATTTCTGTTTGCCTTGCCATCCCTTTTTTTTCTAAAATGCACACACTTTTGAAAAGGAGTGTACACAAGGGGGAAACAGCTGATTTTTTTGATTTAAATCAAAAACAAAAATAAAAAAATCTGATTTTAGCTGTTTCCCCCTTGAGTGTACATAACAATAGTCAAACACTCAAGGGAAGAGTAAATAAGGAGCGATGAAAAAAACGAAAAAAAATCTTTTTTTTTTCAATGAAAATCCTTCAACTCTGAATATACTCATTGAAATCGAAATACTGTTTAACTAATGTTAGTTGGATTCCTACAATAATAGATAGTAAGATATGTCTTTTTAATTTTTTTGTAGTTACTTTCAAATTCAAATCAATAATACTTATACAAGATGTGACAAAATCTAATGATCAACCGGATCATTGTTTCGCCAATTTAGATACATTTTTAGAACACTCGATGCTGCAATTTATTTCCTTATTAAAAAAAGAATCATCATCATCATCATATCCCATAGGCTTTGCGCCCCTTGGGGCCAACCATTTACTAAATCAAATTCCTCCATGACTGTCGGTCTTATGCAAGATGGAACAATTTTTGCCCACTGCGTTGACACCACTCTGTTATATCGCCCAGCCACTCTCTGCATGGACGTCCTCATCGGGATTTTCCGTTCGTTATGGCAAATATTGTATGTTTTATCAACCTATTATCGTCCATTCTGCAGATGTGACTGAATAGTCTTAATTTCCTCTTCTTAATGGTGTCCATTATCGTTTCTTCATTTGATATCCTTTTTCTGATATCTTCATTTCGTATCCTGTCTCGTCAATTGATTCTTAGAATCTGTCGGTAACATTTAATTTCAAATGCCAATAGCTTCTTTCTGTTGGCTTCTTTTAGACTCCATGTCTCTGATGCATATAGGAGCACACTGAAGGCACATGTTTTTAGGATTTTAAGTTTGTTTTCTATCTTCAGTTTCTTGCTATTCCATATGTGTTTCAATGAAGCCATTGCACCTGTCGCTTTTCCTATTCTCCTTTTAATTTCTTCCGAGCAATTGTTATCCCATGTTAGTAGATTACCCAGATATTCGAATTTTTCTACGTTGTCAATGGTCTCTCCTGCTACTTGAATACTACTTGCAATGTTCCTGTCTCCAAATACCATGGTTTTGGTTTTATTTATATTCAAGATATGTCCTGCTTTTTCGGCAGCTGTCTTGGTTAGCTCAATTTGCCGTTGAAGTGAGCTAACTTCTTCATCTATAAGATCAGTATCATCAGCGAAACTCAGATTATTTATAAATATTCCGTCGATGTTAATTTC